CGGGATTAAAAATGTGAAACACGATGTAGCTGCTATACCCGATGTTCACAAAGCTGTTATTTTTTATGCATATTGGGGTATGTTTCTTCATAATAGTTTACCTTACATTATAGACTTTCAATAGGATAATACTCCATATATGCTCCAATCATATGTTACTTATGCATCATCTTTGATATTTCCTTGAAGTCTTCTGTCACAGTTTATAATAATCCCTGAGCCCTGTCTATCACAGCCTGTGACGGGTGCAAAATTTCTACCCATAAACATTTCAACACTCCTTTCAGGTCGTGTTTCACAAAACGCCATTGAGTACTTACCTTTAGGTATAATCAGACGACTCTTTATGGTGCCTCGTAATCCTTTAAAAGTCCAGTATGAGGATAAATCCTTTATATCATATATGTTATCCTCGCTGAGCTCTACAAAATGGCAAGGTCAAGATTCAAAATGGAGCGTGACGTCTGACGATTTCCCTCATAAGTTACAAAATTTCGGAAAGCCATTTTTCAATGTCCCAGAACTTTTTGCGAGGACTGTACGTCAAGCCAATCAAAATTCACCATCGCACCTCTAATTGTAGAGGGCGCACAATTAAAAAAGCTAGAATTAAATGATATAATCAAAAAGCATATGACTGATGTTAGGGTATGTGATATTCAACTTTGTCGTTCAGGAATATTTACATTATATGCTACAGATGTTAATTCATTTAATCGACTATTGAATGATTTTACTCAGATTCTCGCTGCAAATGGTCAAATCACAGCAAAAATATTTGTACCTCGATCAATTCATAGAATTAAAAATATGGAAAAAGTTGCTTTTGTCAAGAGAGTTGACTTAGAAATTTCGGAAACCAGAATTACTGATGCATTAATGGATACAGGATTTAATGTTGAAGGTGTTGTTAGATTAACAACCAAAGATAGAAATACGCCGACCCGAACAATTAAAATTATTTTTAATGATTCTCAAAATAGAAATGCATTTATACAAACTAGTTTACAAATAGATTCAATGCACTTTCCAGCTGAACCTGCAATGCAAAATAATAAACCGGTACAATGTTATTTATGTCTTCAATATAACCATATGGCAAAGTATTGTAAAAGAAAACAACAAGTATGTGCTCGATGTGATGGAAAACATCACGTTGACTAATGTACTGATCCACAACAAAAACCAAAATGCTGTAATTGCCAAGGTGATCACTTAGCAACATCACCCGATTGTCCAAAATTTAAAGAATGATAAATCAATATTCATCAACAACATCACAAGCAACAATAAAAGCTCCTGATCCAAATAATGTAGTTGAATTTCCTTTCTTACATAATGGCCATCAACGACAACAAGATTATCTACACAGTGAAATTATTGAAGAGATAATACAGGTTCTTACTGCCAAAATGGAAAAGATTATAGAAGAAACAACTAACCGATTATTTGAAACACTCCATCGAAAG